TAAAACAAAAAAGTAAGGACAAGCCAAAACTATTACGTAAAACCAAATTTTGACAAAATCGATTTAATCATTTTGTAAGATACTGATACATCTAGTATATCTATAGTCCCATATTAATGTTAAATTTAAATACATTGAACAACATTAATTCTAAATAAACACCCATAAGTGATTTTAATGTATTTATTAGATACGTTTTTGTTAATGAGGGTTCTGGTTGATTTTTAAAATACAGTTATTATTTGCAGTTTAATATAATATCTTTATTGATGTGGATACTGGATACTCAACTAAATTTTATATTTTCAAATATCTTAAATACTTAAATATAACTAAATAGGTACTAATCCAAGCCTGGGAAAGTTAATGATTACTGCAGGGCTGGTTAATGATTATTTTTAACTGAGTTATGTCAAGTTATGTTRACATTTTAAAATGTTTTAAGTTATCCTGATTTTTTTTCCTAAACTTAGTTTAGTTAAATGTTACATGGAAACTAAGTCATTTATCAATTTATTTATTTTTTAATACATTAAATTCCAGTACAGATACTATACAACATAGATAGATGCTTAGTGTTTATTTTGCAATCAAATACCTACTTAACTTCAATATTTTTTTTCAATATAAGATAAAAAATTTGTCTTGCATAATATAYCTAATACACTATTTTACCTATAGGTAAAAAAATCATACAACGGATATTTATTTCTTTACAATAATTATATTTTAAATAAGTAATAATATCCAATTTCGTACCTATCAAATGAAATACATTTTATATAAACTATATACGAATATGTAGTACTCACAATATAAAATAAAATACTGCACTTAACATGATATTATATTGATATACTCGTATATTAACTATGTATATTGTTGAAAAAAACATAATCTAAAACGTATATAGTTACTGTGCAGTACCTACATAAATATTAGATCAAAAAAATATGTCATAGTCCATGTCGATGCTGCAAAAGCACTATAACAGGTTAATACAGGGTGGTTCATTAAGCATGCTCACTGCTATATTTTTTATTTTAATAATAATTAATTTATTCAATTCTGATCATTTAAATTTTTAAATAAATTTCATTCCATATTTTCAATTGCTTAATATTCTTCTCAAGGAGTATCCTTTGGCAATACACATTTCTGTTTCTCATATAAAAACTCCCTTTTTTATTTTAGATTATTTAGTAGATTTATTTTTTTWAAATGTTTATATGTACCTAATTCAAAATTTATAGACGAGTAGTTTAGTAGTTATAAAGATGTTTGTAATAAAAATATGGTAATACCTACTACTTATTTGGAAATAGTTTTAAAAAATTTAAAATAGATCTAATCTATTGGGCCCATGTATAGTTTTTTTTATTTTTTATACATGGGTCAATTTTTAAAATCATAAATATTAATTAATAACAAATTAATAATATCAACTACTAAAATGCTCAAATCACCATTGTCCAAATATTTTACGTATATTTACCTATATATCCTATAGGTACACAAATTTAACTTATTTAATAAAATAACTCATGACTACACTTTCAGAATTTTTGATACCACTATATTTTCAGAAAAATGATATGCTAAATAATTTACAAAAAAGTATATTTAAAAATCCCAAAAATCAGATTTTGAATATTGCATTATTGAAAAAAGTGGATGAGCATCATGCTTGGTGATTCATCCTGTACAATAATATATATACCTATTAAAAAGGTAGAATTCGCAGAGGGAATGTCTATATAATATAATATTATATTAATAAAATATAAAATATGACGTAGTTTCTGATATCTACCCGCTTGCAATAAATTCATATATTGCTATTGCTGCCGCTTGTATAAACAATATGTACTTAATTTAATCAATTCGTTATGATATAGGTATATTAGGAATATAAAAACAATGGAAACAAATAAACCACATGACGACGATAAAAATAAAAGAAATAAGTAAAAGAAAAAATGGGATGTATATATAGCACGAAATAAATAAAAACAACCCTCGTATAAACGTGCGGCACTTGACGCTATACTCTAATCAATATTTCATTAGCCCGTCTGTAGGTATAATATTATATACCTGGGAATTCGGTAGAAATGAAAAAAAATACGAAAAACCTCGAGCGTTTTCTACTCCCTACCTCCCCACCCCCACAAAGCAAAGTCATTCACTTCACTTCTGCACTGCTCTTGCCTCGTTTCTGGTTTTTTACGCGTTTTCGGTCCAAGTCTATCTGTTTCACTTCCTCGCTTATTTTCTCTCTCTCTCTCTCTCTCTCTCTCTCCCTCTTCCCCACTCTCTCTAGTCACGTTAAGGATTCATTCATTTTCAATTCGCATAACTATCTTGAGTGCCGCGAGCCACCGAGTTGTTGCGGTAGAAGTGAGGTGGTGATGGTGGTGTTTGGGGTAGAAAGGTGGTGGTGGCAGTGGTGCCGACTGCTGGCGCGGCGGCCTAGGTCGGGTGTACGACGAGTGAACGGACGTAAATGTGCGGCGTGCCGCGTGCAGTATCGACGGTGTGACGGGGCTCCCGGGTCCGAGGTTGACCACGCCCACGTCAGCCGACGATTGGTCCAATCAGAACGGTGGCCGGATGCTGCCGCTAATGCCAACGCCTCTCGACACAACGCGCGTCGCTGACGAGCGGCCGACAGTGGCCGCAGATGCCACTGCCTCGGCGTATACAGGCGTAAGCCATAAAACTGCCGCCACTGTCTCTGACGCGTTTTCCGAATGCAACACCCGCGTCGTCGTAGTTATACCACACGCGCTAGCATTGCATATCGCATCACACATCGTATCACATCGTCGTCGATATATCGCATATCRCGCGTGCGAGTATCATTTATCGAGTACCTAATATAGTCGTCGGTCCGTTGTATCAACACGTATCATTTGTGACTGTGTGTGTTAGAATACAAAGAAAAAATATAAAATTATATTGTGTTCGTTCGAAAATTTCGTAAATCTAACAAGTTATCTTCATTACTATTTTACATATTCCTGTCGATTGGATTGAAAGATTTCTGTGCGATCACCGTCACGTCTATGACGACTTCGGCCAACCGTCGGCTGTGTCCTCCCAGAGGGACGTCTGCCGTCGGTAGTTCATTTAACTATTGGTCGTATGCCAACACCACGCGATCGAAAACTGAGAGCGTATAGCAATTTTTTGTATTYCGTCGTCGTCGTGGTTTTAAATAAAATTGCCACTAGTATTTTACGAACGTGGAAATCAAAAATCGATCACAATTTTGTCGTCGTTACCTTTTAGGCCAGGATTGAGGCCGAACATGCTCAACAACATCAGTATAATTGGCCCGAATAATGTCGGCGGTAAGCATATACCTATAATATAGAAAAAATAAATATATTTACAATATAATATGGTATTTATGCAGTGATGCATACATTTTATACACACAAATATGATTATTACTTATTATAGGTATAAATTACATCGTTATTTAATCTGAATTTGTATAAAAACTAAATCGTCAACAACTAATTTTTATTTCGAATAAATACAATAGGTATGTCGATGTAAGTTATTTCGATAATTATTGTATGTATTTAAATCATATTTGAATACCTACCAGTTTAAATATTAAACTATCTGTGGGTGCTTCTCAAAAATCTTAAAATTATGAAATTGTAAACGATTCCAGTTTGTATACAATCATTATAAAATAAGTTTTATCTACTTGTATAGATATAATATGTACCTTTATGTATTTATTTCCCAAGACATGAAAGTAAAAGTTTAAATGTAGGTATGTAGTAATCACTATTCACTACAAACTGTGCTATATTATGATATAAAACATCATTTTAATACCATTATTATTATATACCTATATACTGGCTACTGACGTTTTTAACTATTATTAAACATGATAAACTGTGACTGCTGTATATGCGATTAGATAATATATTATGTTGTATCTCTTTATCCGAGGATAAAAAGGTTTTCTTTGTGTAACGTTTAGGATTCCTAAGGGAAAATAGTATCAATACTTCAAGTTAAAGAAGTTTTAGAGTTTTAAAATTCAAAGTTACAGTGAATTTATTGTATAGTGTTATAAAAATAACATAGGTATTAATGATTAATTTATGTTCAAACTGCACCATAATAATATTATAATACATTTTATTTTTGTTAAATAAATTATATTAAAATGGTCAGATATATGTTACCATATAATTTTCATTTAATGCGTATATTTATTACGAAATAATAATAATAATAATATTTTTGTACATGTTTAATCATTATTTTATACTGAATTTTTCGATTCAAGTTCAGTATGAAGTATGTACCTAGTTTAATTTAAATATTAAGTAATAAGTTGTATTATAAACTATCATGATCATTTCATTGAAAATGTTATCGAAAAACCAGTTGACGACTATTTTKTTTTAACTTCTATTTATCCCTCAACAATAAATTTATCCAAATACTGATTTTTTGAATTTATAAGTTTATTACTTAAAACCCATAATTTTAAATACTTAGAGAAAAGTGTCTTAACTGTGATATTATAACATT